CGAAAGCATCTGTATGCCAACTGCACCCTTTATATAATCTACTTTTATATGTTATTAAATGTTCATTTCGCTTTTAAAGTAGGTGTGTACTAGTGCTAAGTAGCAAGCCATTGCAAAATCCAAAATGGCCTCACCATCTCATTTCCTTCTCCAAAACCATATTTCTCATGCACCTTGACATGTCTGCTATTTTTTTCCGCATGATTATTTAAGTCCCTTGCTAAAAAAAGTCCTATCTCCATTTGGTATTTGTTGGACTAGTCCATCCATGTCTTCTCAGGATTGTCTCTTAATTATTTAAGTACTATGTATATTAATTATCTCCTTCCCTTATACAAGTTTAATTAATATGAGATTATCACATACTCTGTTGACAATAATTACTTCAGCTTTTATTATGCAAAAAAATTGCAAGATTTTCAAATAGCCAATAAAAAAAATAAAAAATACAAAGCCTTCTATCTATTCTTGTAAAGTCGTTTGGGTGTTGAAGTCTCTCTGCGATGCGATTCTCTCACTGCAAATCTTCTTATCTCCTTTCTCTCTTTTGCCTCCAGCTTTAAATCCCCTTATGTTGATACTAGTACTGAAAACCATTAGCAACACCAGAGAAGCTTCTTTGTTGCATCAATAGAGGGAGAGCAGCGTGCTAGAGATTTACGGGATTTTTTGGACAGAGAAAGAGAGAGATGGGTAGCAAAAATTCCTCTCCCAAAAAGCCCTCCTCTACATTTAAATTCCCTTTTGTTGATCATAACATTAAAAACCATTAGCAGCAGCTTCTTTGCAGCATCAACAGAGGGAGAGCAGAGCAGGGTGCTAAGAGAAAGTTGGGTGCTGGGTTGGGTTTGGAGAGAGAGAGAGAGGGATGGGTAGCAAGGTGCTTGAGAGAAAGTTGGATGTTCGGGGTTTTTAGAGAGAGAGGGAGAGCGAGAAATTGGGTAGGTAGCAGGGTGCTAGTGAGAGAGTTGATTTGTTTGGATTTGCAAGGTTTTTAGAGAGAAAGAGAGCGATGGGTTGTTGGGTCACTGTGGGGTTTGCATGGTGTGAGAGAAGGCAACTCTTTCATTCGAAAAAATTCAAATTTAACTTGATTTTTTTTACGGTAACTTTTAAATTTAAATCTAACTTGATTTTTTTTACAGTAATTTTTGCCTTGACATGCACTATTTTTTTCTTTCAATCTAAAAATCTTAACAAAATCTTGTGGTTGTCCAAATGGTTTAAAGTCTGTTTCTCAATTGGTATGATTTAAAGTAAGTTTCTCAAGATTTTTGGATTACAATTCAAAAATACTCCAATTTTGAGTGCATCTAAGGTAAATCTAAATTGGCAGGCACTAAATAATTTTTATTATTATCCATTCATAAATACCTATTTTTTCCCTTTTCACTTAGTTTTTATAAATACCTAAGTTTATATCCATCAATTTCTGTTGTTTTTTCCCCTTTTCACTTAGTTTTTATAAATACCTAAGTTTATATCCATCGATTTTTGTTGTTTTTTCCCCTTTTCACTTAGTTTTTTATAAGCAAGCAAGTTTCCACTTGGTTTCCTATAAGCAAGCTATGTTAACTTTCCTTCATCTCATTGTATCTGCTAACTTCATACTCTTACTTATTAGCACTCCCAAGTTTCATTTGTCTAGACAAATCCTATTTTTTCGAAATAGCTTCTTTTTGTGCTCGTCTAGAATGAAGCAAGAACCCTTGCCTACTTATCACGCAACATGTTTTGCCTACTTATCACCTAATATGTTGTTGTTGTGGTGTGTTGCTTCCAAGGAACGCCTAACCTTGCATATTTCTCATCACACCCCAGGCGTGTACAACGTGTCCCTTATAGGGATTGGCATGACCAGTATGAGGATGGTTAAGACAGAGTTTCACTTACTTCTAATTATAATTTTTTTATTATGAATATATTATGTTATTTTTTTATTATGAATATATTATGTTTTGTCTTGATTATTCAAGAGAAACAAAATTAGTCCCAAGCAAAAAGCCAAAGCTATGGCGCCAAATCCCAACTTAGTAGGAATGGGCTCAAGGCTAGCACCAAATCCCAACGCTATGGCACCAAATCCTAACTTAGTAGGAATGGGCTCAAGGCTAGATGGTCACAACATGTTGTCTTAAGTTTCATTTCTACTATGAGTAAGGGGACTCAATCCCCACTTAACTATACGAAACAAAAAAACAAAAAAAGATCCCAGCCCCTGTTAAGATAGAGATCAGTGATGTTTCTATTTATGTCTTGTTAAGTTTATGTAATGGGTGAAAGCATCCTTATAATGGGAATCCGGACCTTAGCAATTAGTATTTTAACCTTAACTCCCAAATAATTCAGCAAATTGTTGAATACCATCTTGTCAGAAACTTCGAAATGACCCCCCAAGCTTTTTTAGGACCCATAAGTGCACATGTCTCATTATCATTTCCTTATTTTTTCTTCACTTTTGTGGACTAAGGTATGCTCAAAGCATATGTATAATAGTTCCATTGATATTAAACAAAATTTAGCCAAACAGCTAGTTCTAGTGTAGATCTAAAATCTTTGACACTCTTTGTTCAATTCTCTTTCTTATAGGAATGGTTCACATATTTCTAACTATGATTTTATTTTATTATGAATATATCCTCTTTCTTATAGGAATGGTTCACATATTTCTAACTATGATTTTATTTTATTATGAATATATCCTGAAATCCTTGCTTCAAGTTAAACAAAATGGAGTTCATGCTTCCACTAGAAGACCAGAAAAACCCAAGTCAAAGCCAAAGCTAGGACACCGGAAAACAAATCAAAGGGGTGGATCCCGGCCCCCAGTAGCCTTCTATTTATGCATTCTCTAATTTATATAAGGGTGCAGTTTGTAAAGATCCGAGACTTTTAACAATCAACGTAAAGCATACCTTAAAATAGTGTCGAGAAATGTGGTTTTAATACTGGAAATCTTTGTGATAGCTTTAAAATATATTTTTATTTTTAATTATAAAATTTAAAGCTTCAAACACAATGTAGATCGAGCAGATTTGTAAAACCTTGAAATTGATGATCCAAAAATGTGTTACAAGATGCACTATTTCCAAAACTTGAAATCTATTTTTTTTCTCATTTCCATGCATCTTGATATCAAGATGATCAATTTAAAAATATTTGGGCATCAAAACAGTCTCTTCTAATGAAATTTTCGAGGTGGGCTCCAATTTGATTGTTTAGAACCTCGGCTCTATATAAACATTTTCCTTTATATAATGGGGTGAAAGCACTCTAACAATGGGAACGCGAACTTCGGCATTAGAATTTTAACCCTAGATATTGAAGACCATCTTCTGTGAAACTTTCCCCAATCTTCCGGAGTACCTATAAATTCTTATACCTATAAATTCTTATATCTCATCATCATTTAATTACTCTTTTTTTTTTACTCTAATTTTTTTTTTTAAGGCTAAGGTATGCTCAATTGTAATATATAAATTTTTGTCAGAGCTTCATTGATATTATACAAATTTGAACCAAACACTTAGATCTAATGTAGAACTAAAATCTGTGATACTCTTTCTTCAATTTCTCTTTCTTATAGGAATGGTTCATATAGTTATAACTATGATTTTGTTTTATTATGGATGTATTGTGAATTGTAATGCTTAGTTTTGGAGGGGAGAAATAAAATGGGATTCATGCTTCCACTGGAAGACTGGAAAAACCCGAGCCAAAAGCCGAAGCTGGGGCACCAGAAACCAAAACAAAGGGGGTGATCTCAACCCTTGTAGCCCTTGTTAAGATAGAGTCTGATGGTGTTTCTATGTATGCCTGGTTTGATTTATGTAATGCGTGAAAGCATTCTTAAAATAGGAAACTGGACCTCAGCATTAGTATTTTAACCCTAATTCCCAAATAACTCAGTAAAGATTTTGAATACCATCTTGCATGAAACTTAATCACACCAATCTTATTAAGTACCTATAAGTGTTCATATTTTTATTATCATTTCTTTTACTTTTTTCATTTTTGTGGATTACAGGAAGTTCTTCAAGACAACAAGTTCGAGAAGCTACTGATGCAAGAGGTTATTGCTGCACAGGACATTGATGTCACCTTCTCAGACATTGGAGCACTAGAAGATACAAAGAGGATCCTCGAAGAGCTTGTAATACTCCCACTTAAGAGGCCTGATATCTTTAGGGGACGTGGTCTCTTAAGACCTTGTAGGGGAATCCTTCTCTTCGGTCCTCCGGGTACCGGGAAAACCATGTTGGCTAAAGCCATTGCTATAGAAGCTGAAGCTACCTTCATTAACATTTCCACGTCGACCATATCCAATAAGTGGTATGGAGAGGCTGAGAAGATCACAAGAGCGCTATTCAGACTGGCTGCAAAATTGGCACCGGCCATTATATTCATTGATGAGGTTGATAGCATGTTGGGTCGGAGGTCTAGTAACGACAGTGAGAGCGAGGCCACACGTTGCGTTAAGAATGAGTTCACGGCCAATTGGGATGGATTGGGCACAAAATCTAATGAGACGATACTCGTTTTGGGGGCAACAAACCGCCCCTTCTCGCTAAAGAGAAGACCGAAGAGCTTAGCTTCAAAGAGCTTGCCTCCATTACTGAAGGATACACGGGCAGTGATCTCAAGGTTCGAGAGAGGGAGGAGGAGAGAGATTTCACCTTCAATCCTTTTTACTTATGTTTTATATCAATCTCAAAATAAGAGAGAGAGAGAGAGAGATTTAATCTTGTGTCCTAATTGTGTTCTTTATCAGTATTAACAAAGAATGGTTGGTAACTTGTTTTGGGCAGAATTTGTGCACTACCGCAGTTTATCGGTCAGTGCGAGAGCTATTGAAGAAGGAAAAAGAAAAAGAAACGGTATTTAGTTTTCGCTCTTTTGGTCTATTAATGATAAAATAAAAAAAATTTCTCGAACTACATGTAAGATTTGAACCTTCTGTTTATTTCCAGATAGCATATTGATAAAATTCAAATAGACCATCGAATGACACGTTAGGTTTTGAAATTTATCAAATTACATTTAGGGTGAAATGTTAAGCAGGTCGCCTCTTAAGTGTATTTGGATAAATTTCCGATAACATAATTATAAAAAATGCTCTTAATTTTGCAAGGTTCTTTCTTTACCATGACCAATGATCTCCAAAATAAAAAATAAGTTGGGATTTTCAAACACAAAAATTTGCTACTTTTTCTGACCCTGATAACTATGTGGTCATGTAACGCACATCAGAATTTGTACTCATGAGAAGAAACAAATACCTCAGGAAAAAGGTGACATTAAATCTAAGTCGAATGAGGAGCAATCCAGGCCGTCGATCTCTAGTGGTACCAAAATGGCAAAGGAGCAAAAAGAAGTGATTCCCCTCAGGCCACTAACCATGGAAGATCTACTCCAAGCCAAGAACCAGGTAATTTTATTTGCAATCTACTCCAAGGAACCAGGAAATTTTATTTGCAGTTTCAATATAATATATGTATGATATATTTCCCTCAGGTCGCTAGTTGGGGGCCTTTTTTGAAGTTTTCCATCTGTGGATACGTGCCTCTCCCTAACTCAAAAATCTCTAGAATAAGTTAAATTATATAAATTCAAGGAACTTATATTTAAAGAAATGCGTCAAAAAAAAATACCTATTATCTATTTTCAAGTAATTTAAAAATTCACCAATCCGGATCAAGAATCAGTGACCGTGTTGAAGCGATAATACAATTAGTTTGTATAAACAGGAGGAAGTATAAGACAACTAACCTCAAATAGCTTCGAACCCCAATCTTTTCTATTAAACATCAAGGTTTGGATCCCCTAGGCCCTCGTTTTTTTGGACGAGCTTTGTTCTTAAGAGCAGTTTTGAATGTCCAAAAGAAAGGAAAAAAAAGAGGGGGATTCCAACCCCCTTAAAGGCAAGATCTCGCCAAAGTAGCCATGATGTATTTTCTATATATATATATATATATATATTTATTGGTTCTAGATAACCGATCTTAAATAGGACTGGTGGGTGGATGATCCGCCCACTGATCCATTTTTAAAAGCACAGCTTTCAACACAACACATGATCAATGTTTAACTTAGGAGGGCTTTTTGAAATTAAACAAAAAAGGGATAAAATGTTAAAGTAATTCATCTCTTAAGTGCATTTTCATTAATTTTTGTAATTTTTAAGGATGGTATAGAATTTATCGTTTGAACCAAAAAAGGCGCAATCACGTGTAGCCCCATTACACCAGAAATGGATGGTTCACATGTTGCTAATGACCTTGATTGAAATCAGAAAGAAACTTTCTCAAGCTTCATAAGGGGAATTGAGACCTTCATATATCAAAAGTAAATGGTTTTATAGCTAGGGATGGCCAGGAGGCCTGGTCCGCCCAGCATAGGAGAATTAAGGTCAAGCAACCATGGTCCGAGGGCCAGTATAGTGGAAGCTCGTCAAGGGCTACAACAAAGCAGGCCCAACCCAAACCTGTTTTTACTTGATTTTTCTTTTCTTTTCTTTTCTTTTCTTTTTTTCTTGAATCTATTAAGCCCCTTTGGCCAGTCCAAATTGTCCCACCCCTAAAGGGACACACGCGAGACTCAGGCTACCCAGACCCATTGTCAGGCCCAATAGCAAATAATGCAATACTTAATGGGGACTGATTCAATGTAAATGGTTCTACCGTAATACAATGAAACAATCTTCAAAAACCTATTATGACCATTTGTTTAATCCCAAATTTTGAAAATACATTCTTTCATTCTAACGAACAATCTTAAAAAAGCAAAACTTGAAAATACAAGTCATAAAGCATTTTTTAATCAAATTAATATAAACCATCTATTTTATTGATATGCTTAAATCTAGACCTTAAAATGATCTTTTTTTTCCTTCTAAATCTTTTACATATCTTTATTATCATTAGATTAACAACCTTTTGCATGTGCCCTGTAGTTTTAAAAAAATGAAAAACACAGCGCCCAAGGGGGCGCCTAGGTACATCCGCCCTAGGTATATCCGCCCGTCTGCCCGGGCCGCCTCGGTCTAGGTGTCTAGGCGGGGTTTTTTAAAACATTGGTTGAAAAATAAAAATAAAAATTAATTTTGAATTCATAAAAAGTCTATATCTTAAAATTCACTGAATGGATGATCTAAATTTATTGTAGGAGGGAACTCATTTTGATCATATCTATATCTATAGTGCAAATCGAATTTTATTTTGATGGTACAAATTGAATTTTATTTTTTGAGATTGATTTTTAAGAGTGTGTGCAAAATTTAAAGTCCCTATTGCTTTCTAAAAATGTGGTCTCATCCAATTACAACGGGACGTTGACATGAGATCATTCCCTATCCCTAATTATTACATAAATTCTCCATCTCTCTCCTCTCTATCTATCTCTCTCACTAAATGAAATTGTCCCTCTCGCACACTAAATGAAATTGTATTCTGACAAGTACAGATTGCCCCTAGCTTGCCTCGGAGGGGAAAATCATGAGCGAGTTGCAGCAATGGAATGATATGTTTGGGGAAGGAGGCTCAAGGACGAAGCAGCAACAGCTCTCCTATTTCCTTTAACCATCCTAAAGCCATGTCAGCTCCTATCTCCCAATGGGAGAGTGCCACGTCTCAATGAGATCCTCTCTCTCCAATGGGAGAGTGCCACATCTCAATGAGATCCTATCCAATAGGAGAGGGCCTGGGTCATCAAGCATTCTTCCTAGGAGCCAAGCTAAGAAAAAGTGATCATCCTTTTTATTGGGAGGGGTAAAGCCCCAAAGGACCTCCTTGTCTTTATAAAGAAAGATTGGACCAAACTTTTTTTTCCTTTTATTGTGTTTTTTTTTTTTTTTTTTGACAATGTCATATGAGAATGGAACTTGAGATGTCAAACGGTGAAAACCCAACTTCTACCGTGATTCTTAGATTGGACTATATTTAGTGATGGAATAAGAGTTTCAAGATGTCCATTTTTCTTTTCTTTTTTTCTTATTTTTTTTTTATATTATCTAATGAAAGATTATTTATATTTTATATATGGAGGTCACAATCATTTTTATCTCTTAAATTTCAAAATAAATAGTTGTAAGAATCTTATTAAAAAGACACAAAGTTTAAAAAAAAAAAATTTCGAGTTCGTGACTTACCTAAACCATCCAATTTGACATCTAATGAATGAGAATAATGATTATGACTTTTATGTACAAAAGATAAATGATCTCTTTGTACACAATCCCTTTGTACTTTCCTTTCTTTTTTATATATATATTTTTTTTGGTTTTATTCAATGCTAAGGATGATGGAGGGGCATTTTACTAATTTATTTGTACATTTTCAAAATAAAATAGTTTAACTTTGAACATATAGGAAGTCACATGCAAAAGTATCATTTACAAATAGAGAGAGTTGAATCATAGATGACAAAAAGAGGTCCTACGGCACTAGGGAAAATGGTTTGAGGTCCTACCGCATTAGGGAAAATGGTTTGAGGTCCTACCGCACGAGGAAACATGGTTTTAGGTCCTACCGCACGAGGGGAAATGATATGATGGAAACTGGTTTTATAGGGCTGTAGCCATATGTGAATAAATAAAGCCGAGGTAAAATAGTTTGATAATATCACAGCCATATCTAAATAAATAAAGCGGAGGGAAAATGGTTTGATAATATCTAAATAAATAAAGCTGAGGGAAAATGGTTTGATAGGGCTGTAGCCATATCTAAATAAATAAAGCCTCAACTTATAGCTCATTGAAATTTCTTCAACTTATAGCTCATTGAAAATTGTAATTCAAGCATTAGAAAACTTTTACTAGAAGATCTCGGCTTGAGTTGTGAAAAGAATTACGATTCCAAGCACCAAAAAACATTATTTATAAGATAATAAATTATCTAGACCATCCATTTCACCCTAAAAATAAATATTCACAAATCTGCAACATTGGCATTGGAAATTGATTTTAAAGCTATCATGAATATTTATGCTATTAAAGTGCTTTTCAGAGGATTTGAGGTGAGCCTTTTATTTTGTTTTCTCTAAATCCTGAGAGAAACGTCATCCCTATATTTGTAAACACTCGTGGTCCACGCATTCCCTCTTTATAACAGGATATCAGAACCTCTCTACTAGAGTAAATATGCCCCACTACTGGCTGCAAATCAATGTTTGAAAACTCAAATTAATAGGACGGATCAATGTCGGATTATTGGATCGTAGATCAACTTGAATTGGTGATAAAAAATATTAAAAATAATTAAAATCTAAACAAAAATAAATCTGTGGCTAGGCGGGACACAGTTAAGGGAATAGGCTGGGACCCATACCATCCCAGACTCAATCCGGATTGGCAATCCGAGTAAAAAACCGTCATCCGGTTTTAAAACACTGGTGCAAAGCTTATTTCTCTAAAAGACCAACCATCACTTGGCTTGCATGGGAAGATCATCTCTAGGAGACACCAATTTTTACCAAACCCACCCCATCTAGGCCAGAGCGCCTCTCTCACATAAGAGAGAGAAACACCTACATATTCATATTCATATTCATTGAGAAGACAGAAAGCTCAAGAAAACTGATACCTGTAGAAATTATGGTATAAACCCAAATCACAAAAACCTAATCCTAATCCCTATCCTCCACAACTATAACCCCGAAAACCCAATCCTAATCCTCTGCAACTAAATCCCCAAAGCCTTGGCCTTGCAAGTTGAAACTAAACCCCCAAATAAGGGTGGAAGGCCAAGCTTTAGCAGACCTTTCCCAGCCTGCAAGGCTTACAGACCTTAAAATAAGCCCGGCCAGACAGGTCCTATCAAGGGGTCTAGAACCCAACTGATGCTGCTCTGGACCTTCGAAGCCCTCCGGCCTACCCAGTTCACTGATCTAATGGGCCTTACATTCAGGCTGAGTTTGGAACGGTTGGCCCCGTGAAGAGATCCAAACCCAACCCGTGTAAGGTCGAGTCAGGCCTTTGGCCCGGCAGGCCTGACCCAGGCCAATTAAACTCACTCTTTCAGTAGACTACAAACTCTTATTTCCCCTCACCTCTCTGCCACTTTCGGGTTTCTTCTCACTCTACACAAATTATCCAGACCACTCTCTCTCAACATTTTCCAATTTGGTTTTCCCTTCTCCTGCCCATATTTTTCCCATCTCCTTAACAACACTTTCCTCTCTCTAGCAGCCAAACAACCTTAAACTTAAAATACAATATCCGAAAAATCGCATGTATGGACATCAGCATTTTTCAAGTAAAATACACATCTACTTTCATTTGCAGCCAAAGAAGGGGCAAATTGTTTTTCTGTAGTTTTATCAACATGAAATGCTATAAATTTTGGAAGAAAATGATAAATTTTGTTTATTTGTTTTTTAGCATTTGATTGGACAGCTTAGATAGTATTATTAGCATTTATTTTCTGGACAAGCCATTGGAACATGACTCAGTGAGAAAAAGACTAGTGTTAAGGCTCAGTATAAACTGTACCGGGGGGGGGGGGGGTGGGGTATACCTGCCCAAGGGAGCCCAAGGGAGTTCTATTAACAAATTTGGTTTTGTTAAAGTCTCTTAAAAAATTTAAAAATATGGTTACTAAATCACCAATAAATGATGCACTGATGTGTTTCTTACACAATTCTTATGTTTTTTATGCCTTATTTGTAAATTTTTCTTATTAATGATTTTTTTTTTCTTATTATTGATTTGTTTTTCTTTTTTTGGATTTTTCTGAATTGCTTCAAGCTATAAATCAGTTTTTTCCGTAATTCATCTCCTGTTACTTGTTTTGTATACTTCTAATGTTGTTTATATATATTTTTTTAACTATTTTAAATTATTTTTAACAACCTTTTTGTATTTGTTTCCAATTTTTTAGCCCTTTTTGGGCTCTGATTGGGGCCGATGATTTTTTTTTCTATTTTTTCCTTTTGGGATTTTTTTGAATTGTTTCAAGCTATAAATCAGTTTTTTCCATAATTCATCTCCTGTATACTATTTTTGCAGACTTCTAACGTTGTTTATAAAAACATTTACTAATTTAAATTATTTTTAACAACTATTTGTATTTTTTCCAATTTTTTAGCCCTGGTGGGGCTCAGACTCGGTTGAGTTACTCCGCTCAGGTGGGGGCGGAGTCCAGAGTGCAAGCCCATAAATTGAACATTGGCTGTTCAAGAAAAATTTCATCTATTGTAAACAAAAATGAAGTCAATTGTTCATAATTTACATTCAGAAATTCACAAGTAAACATGCAATAAAAAGCAATTATCGCTTATCCTTATTTATGATATATAACCTCTAAATTTGCAATGGAAAATATTTTTTTCTGAAAAATCTCAATAAATTATGAGCAATAATCTTTAATCCATAAAAAAATAATGAGAGACAAATGATACCATTGAAAATTCGGAGTTCTGGCCAGCCATGGCTTCGAGCTTCGAAACACTAATTTCTAGGGCCTCCTGCCTCTCTTTGATCTGAGAAATCAAAAGAAAAGTATCTCAAAATTGGAGAAAAACCACTGAATTTCCAGTTAAGAAATGGAAAATACAGAGGACGAATTGAAAACTAACAAGTAATAGGGAAGAATTAAGGAATGAGAAGTGGGAAAAAACCTAACAACTTATTGCAGAAAAAAGGGAGAAGAAAAGGGAAGATGGAATCAAAATGGAGGGTCATTTTCAATAGAAAACTATGGTTTTGAAAGTTTACCATAGATTAGACAGAGGAATAAGATTTTCCTAAATCCTTCCACATGAAATGCGGAATCTATAAATATACTAAAATATTAAAAATGGACGATCTAAATAATGTATGGTAAGATACACTATTTTGTAAATTCGAAACCGATTTTTTTTTTTCATATTCATACATCTTGATGTCGAAATAATTAACTAGAGGGCTTTTCAACATCCAAACAACCTTCTATGATGAATTTTTGAGGTGCATATTTAATTCTACATTTTAAAGTTACAAAATTATATAAACTTGTTTTCTTCCCCTTAATGACAAAATTGGTAATTCGTATCGTCGCATGGTCACTAGCCCGACTAGAGAAAGCCGGACCAGTCGGAGACCGACTTGCCCAAATAAAAAAATTGTTAAATTGTTGTTATCATCATGGATCAGCTAAATTAAAAAATATAAATAAAATTTAAATATTATTAAATATTTAAACAAGGGTGCCGTTTTTATAAGCTTGAGGCTCTAAACAATCAAAGTAAGCACACCTTCAAAAGTATCGAAAAATGTGGTTTCAATATTGGAAATCTTTGTGATAGCCTTAAAATATTTTCATCTTTAATTATAAAATTTAAAGCTTAAAAAATAGTGTGGATCAAGTAAATCTATAAAAGCTCAAAAATTGACGGTCAAAAAATGCATTACAAGATGCACTATTTCCAAAATTTGAAATCCACTTTTTCTCATGTCCATGCATCTTGATGTCAAGATGATCAATTTGACGACATTTGGGCATCAAAACAACCTCTTCTAGTCACTTTTTTGAGGTGGGCTCTAATTTGATCGTTTAGAGCCTTGGCTCTATATAAACTTTTTCCCTTTAACCAAATTATAGGAACTTCCATCTCTATAAAAAAATATTTTTATAAAACGATTAATATTGTATTGAGTGGAATCTTGAAGTAGGGAGAAAATTGGTATGTTATCATTGAGTTTCAAAATAAAGGGAAAAACATACAATGAAACTATTTATTTTTTGTACAAGGTGGTCACAATTAATACTAACCATTGGATGTGA